CTACTCAAACTATTCCAAAACATTCAAAAGGATGGAATCCTCCCTAATTCATTTTATGAAGCAAGCATAACCTTGATACCAAAACCAGGCAAAGAATTACCAACAAAAAAAAAGTCCTGACCCAGATAGTTTCACTGGAGAATTCTACCAAACTTTCAGAGAAGAACTGACATCAATCCTACTCAAACTATTCCAAAACATTCAAAAGGATGGAATCCTCCCTAATTCATTTTCTGAAGCAAGCATAATCTTGATACCAAACCCAGGCAAAGACATCACTATAAAGGAAAACTACAGACCAATAACCCTCATGAATAAAGATGCAAAAATCTTCAACAAAATTCAAGCCAATAAACTCTAGCAGCATATCAAGGAAATAATTTATTATGACCAAGTGGTGTTCATATCAGGTATTCAAGGATGGTTCACATTAGAAAAACAATCAATGTCATCCACCACATAAATAAAACAAAGGAGAACCACATGATCATATCAATCAATGCAGACAAGGCTTTTGATAGAACCCAACACCCATTCCTGACCAAAACTCTCAGCAAAATTGGAATATAAGGGATATTCCTCAACACAATAAAGGGCATCTATGCAAAATCAACAGCCAACATTATTTGCAATGGAGAGAGACTGAAACCATTCCTCTTGTGAAGAGGAACCAGACAAGGATGTCCTCTATCACTACCTTCTGTTCAACATTGTATTGGATGCCCTTGCCAGGGCAATAAGGCAAGAAAGGGAAATCAAAGAATCCAAATTGTTAAGAAAGAAGTCTAACTATCCTTATTTGCTGATGATTTGATCCTATACCTAGAAAAACCAAGAGACTCAGTAAAAAATCTACTGGAACTGATGGAGAGATTTAGCATCATGGAAGATACAAGATCAACATTCAAAAAATCAGTTGGATTCTTCTATACCAGTACAGAGACTACTAAAAAGAAATAAGAAAATCAATACCAATTATGATAGCTACCAAAAAAAAAAATTAAAGTACTTGGGAATAAATCTTACCTTGAACACAAAAAGACCTCTGCAAAGAAAACTAGGAAAGACTTCTTCAAGAAACCATAAAAGATCTACATAAATGGAAGACAATACCATGCTTGTGGATAGCAAAATTGAACATTGTGGAAATGTCAGTTCTATCCAAAGCAATCTATACATTCAATGGAATCCCAATCCAAATCCTATCACCATTCTTTAAGGATATGGAAAAACCTATCACTAACTTTTTTTTTTGTGCTCAATTTAGATCCTGCATCTGGCTTGTCATCATCGGACCTCCAGTTCTTTGGACTTTTATCAGCAGCCTGCCATATTGCCTGCCAATCTTGGGGTTCATTAGCCTCTATAGCCTGTGACCCAGCAGCCTGACATCTCACATACTGACCTTGTATTTGTCACCCCCCTTGCAGCCCATGAGCCAGCAACTTGCCGTCTAACCTGCAGATCTTTGTTACTTCAGCCTCTGCAGCTACATGTGTCAAAAGAAGCCTCCACCCTGATGTTTAACCTACGGACTTGGACTTCCCAGCCTCTACAACCAGGTGAGCTATTTCCTTGAGATAAACCTCTCTCTCAATATATATACTTCACTGGTTTTGCTCTCTAGAGAACCAGCCTAAGACATTTGATACCAAGAGTGGTTCTAGAGAAGGAAAATCATAAGGATGAATTTCCTAAATTGATACTCAAGTCTGACTAGTTTTAAAGGTGTGGACTACTCTGCTTCCATTAGTACAGAGGGATGTGCTAATCCACGGCATGAAGTGGCAATAATAATTTGCAAAATATCATCATCAATAGATCAAGTATTAGTGAGACTTGAGGCTCTGGGTGATCTAATATTTTGTCAGAATCAGAAGTATAGGGTAACTGGTTGGT